TTCTGGATCCACACGTCCTTCCACAGTGGGAACATTGGTTTCTGGGTGGGAGTTGATCACGGTGAGGGTTTGCCAAGCGTGCCTTCCTCTTAGCACGTTTCTCACTTGCGTCCTGAGTTCGAGTGTCTTCAAAGCCCATGACACCTTTGGTAAAGGCTGTTCTCCAATTGCAGTGCTCGCAGGCCAGTGTTTCCCAGTTGCTGGTGTTTATATAACATTTTATATATTACACTTGCATTTAAACATGGGCAACCCTTTCACAGGAAAAGGGAAAGTGTAGTGCTTATGGGATTGAGTGTCGCTTCAGGGACTTTTCCCTTCTTGTCTTTCTGTTATTTCCTAGACAACAAGGTAAATTAATGTTTAGGAGTGATTGCATGAGACATGTTGCAGAATGCAGTACGTTTTATTTCCTTGGCTGTGTATGGACCATGAACCCCAGCACTGCCTTTGCTCTGAGTAGAACTTTCCCATTTCACCTAAGGGAAAACAGAAACATTAACTTTAATCTCCCGGTGAATTATGCATTACTTAATAATATGACAGGCCAAAATTACTGCATGCCTAAATTGCCGTCTGCTTTCTTGAAATCCAGTGATGAATTATCATTCCCAAAATATTAAGAAACCCCAAAAGGTCATTTAAACAAAAAAAACTAGTGGAGAAGGCCCCTTTGGGAAGGACTAATTAAAAATGCTGACTAAATAGCTGTTTTCAGTGAAAAGAGAGCATCAAAACAATTTCCAAAATAACTTTAAAAGGCAAGCAAATTCATAAGAGGAAATATGTTAATAATTCATCGGATCGCTGAGGCTTCGGCTATGGGGGGGGTGGAAATAAGTGTTGCTAAATTACCGAATATGCATTCCATATTGGCAAGGCAAGACTGATTGAAAGAGATCTCCTCCTATTAACAGGAGAGGTAATTTTATGTACATACATCGAGAGACTTCCCTGGGCAGAGCACAGAGAGGGAGAGGGTCTTTTGCAGTACCAGTTAGCTTGTTTGCAGTGTAATTGCATTTAGACCAAGGTCTTCTGAAGGAAACGACTGACTAAATTAGCATTAACCATGTTCCTGTGGGGCTCGGTGCATTGTGGGAGAGGCGGTCTCGCCTCCAGAAAGGACGTGTTGACCCAGTAGAGGCCAGGTGCTGACAAGGCACGGCGTTAATTGCTTTTCCCAAACGGGGTAACTTTTATCACTTGGGGGAAATAGAAAAAACGGGGGGGGGGAGAAATCTTATCAGGCAAAGTGTAGGACTTAAACCTCTTCTTCATTTTTCACCCACCCATCCTTCCTTGGGCTCCCTTCAGCCGGCCCGTGGACGGTCCGGGAATCAGCATGTTTTTACATGAGTAGAATGTGCCCTTTTATTTAAAATGCATCTCTGGGTTATTTGTGGGGCCTGCCTGGTGTTTTTACATGAGTAGAATGTGTGCTTTTATTTAAAATGCATCTCTGGGTTATTTGTGGGGCATAGGAATTTGTTCCATTTCCCCCCAAAAAAAATATAGTCTGGCCCCCCACAAGGTCTGAGGGACAGTGGACCGTCCCCCTGCTGAAAAAGTTTGCTGGTCCCTGGACTAGACGACCCACGAGGTCCCTTCCAGCTCTACAAATCTGTGATTCTGTGCTGGTGCAGGGAGTGGAACCTTGGGACTGGAACAGTGCTACTCTCACTATCACCTCAAGGTTCTGCCACCAGCCAAGCCTCAGCTGGGAATAGTCTTCCCAGAGGTTCAAAAACCTCAGAACCTTCATACAGTGGTGCCCCACAAGACGAATGCCTCGCAAGACGAAAAACTCGCTAGACGAAAGGGTTTTCCATTTTTTGAGTCGTTCCGCAAGACGAATTTCCCTATGGGCTTGCTTCGCAAGACGAAACGTCTTGCAAGTTCTTGCGAGTTTGTTTCCTTTTTCTTAAAGCCGCTAAGCCGCTAATAGCCGCTAAGCCGCTAATAGCCGCTAAGCCGCTAATAGCCGTGCTTCGCAAGACGAAAAAACCACAAGACGAAGAGACTCACAGAACGGATTAATTTCGTCTTGCGAGGCACCACTGTATATGTCTTTGTGTGGAAATACCCCAAACTCAGCAGCCTCTTACCTTATTTCTCACGCCAGCTCCATAAGCCAGTGTGTCTCCGAAAGTGCCTCAAGTTATGGTTTTATTCTGACTTCAACACATATTATTATTAGGCTGAGTGTGTATCCCTCCAGCTAAACTCACATCCAGTCATGTAAATCAATCTTCTACTGTATTAGTTACTTGAACAGCAAACAAACTTAAGACATGCAGATGATAAAAAATAGCTGGCTTGCGGTAGAAGGAGGATAAATGTGTGGTTGAATCTGAGGCCCCTTCTGCAACCACACAAAGGGTATCAGACCACTTTATAAACAGTCATAGCTTCTCCCCAAATAATTCTGGGAACTGTAGGTCAATAAGGATGCTGAGAGATGTTGAGAGCCCTATTCCCCTCCCACATCTACAATTCCCAGAGTGTTTTAACAATCGATCCCTCTTGCTAGAGGAGAGCAGAGAACTCTCTAACAAACTACAGTTCCCAGAATTCTCTGGGGGAAGCGACAATGGTTTAAAGTGATCTGTCGTCCCTTAAAACGTATTGTGCGCAGATGGGGCCTGAGATAAAAGAGGCAGATGAGATGAAAAGGCAAAGGCAAGGCTGCCATCCTCTAGGCTGCAACTCAGATGGGGAGAGAACAAGATCAGAGAGAGGCTTTTCTTCAGAGGAGGAGAACTGGTCTGAGCGGGGTTAGATGTTCTAGGAATAACCAGTAGTAGAGATCAAGCTTTAATCAGCTGCTAACAGATCTGCAATGGGGAAATCAAAGCAGTTCTAAATGCAGAGACTAGGGAGCAAGTGGGGGAAAATGTGACATTTGGTAGTTAGCCGTGACTCCCGCTAATTGATTTACGAACCTCGATTAGCGATATATGGCCGCCCGGCACACTTCCGCAGCGCCTCTCCGTCACGGCTCAGCAGAGTTTCCGCACAGCGGTGTAGAACTGTCACGTTGCTTGGTTCAGCTTCCAGACAAACACACATAGACAGGTTCGTCTATTTACAGCTTTTATTCCAACATTTCTCAGGAATTTCCAGGACTATTTGCAGCCATGCCAGACCTGCGTCTTTTCCCCACGGAACACAGAGTGGGACTGAACAAACAGGGAATAGTCCCGCCCAGCTTCTAAAGCTTCTGTCTCTGCCCAGCTGTAAGCTGACGTCAGCAGGTGACACACACCAGGGAATTTAACCAGATAAATTCTGAACTATAACAGAAAATAGAGTAATGCCCAGTTGAGACTGAAGAAGCATGGTTACCACATTTCTCGGAGATCATCCCTTCTCACATCAAGAAGCCCTCGGCTCAACAAGCCAATCTGAGAAGGAAGGAAGGAAAGAAGGAAGGAAGGAAGGAAGGACTATTCCCGGCTCCTGCCACCCCTTTTAGTTCAGAGAAAATTTGAGTATTTCTCCCTAGCGTTCTCTGCTGGAAGAGCTCTTCTGGATTAAGCTAAAAGCTCATGTAACCAAGCATCCTGTTCTCACAGTGGCCAACCATATGGCCATAACAGGAAGCAGCTGAGCAGGACCTGAGTGCCACAGCACTCTCCACACCTGCAATTCCTAGCAGCTTTCATACAGAGGTGCACAGCCTCCAACAGTGGGCACAGCCACCATCACGTGGCAGGAAGTCGTACCCCATTGCTCTCCCAGAAACGGCACCAGGGCTAGGGCTGCAACACCTCAGCAGCTTTCAGTTCTGCGTCTTAAGGGTGCAAAGGGCCTTGCGCCTTACAGGACAAGCTTTGCTTCCAGTGAATATGCAGAGATCCCTGGAAATCTGCCAGCAATTGTTTGGTATCTTCCATGTATCACTTGTTAGCATCTGTCTGTCTCGGGAGGATTCATAAGATGCATCCTTCGCCACACACCCATACGCCCTTCGCCACACACCCATACGCAAACGGAGGTTGCAGTAGCAAAAGCACAGAGCCGACTGCATAAACTGGGGCTTTGTACTGAAGATTTAGTGCAAATTCGTAAGACTTCGAAGGTTTGGTGTAAGTTCTATTTCCAAATGTACCGTATTACACACACATAATATTTTTTTTATTGTCAAGTTCTTTGCAGTTTTAATACATGTCTATTTTTTATTGTACCACGAAATTTCAAATTGTTGAAAGCCTCCAGGGGCGGCCACTGGGAGGGCAGGATTAAGAAAAAAATGTTTAAAAATATTTTTATCCAGCTCTACATTGAACATTTGCATTCGTATATAGCTAATATACAAATAGGATTCTCTGAATCCCAGACTTTTCTCCATGCCTCCATGGGTTCCATAGTTATTCTTTTTCAACTGCATCATACAATGTTCTCCATTTTTCCTTAATAGTCAATTGTTACCATAGTGTTGTTAAAATCCTGACAGTGTTTATCGTTTACAGTGTTCTTCTAAATAAGTTATAATTTTTTCCCATTTTTTATTAAATTTATTGTCTGATCTTCCCAGTCATTTTTTGCCATTTCTGCATAGTCCATCATCATTATTAACCATTGTTCTCTGGTAGGGATGTTGTCTTCCTTCCATCTCTGGGCTAGAAGTATCCTCGCAGTTGTCATTGTGTACATAAACGGTCTTTTCTGCTCCTTTGTTATTTCTGGACCTAAAATATCTAATAAAAAGGCTTCTGGATTTTTTTTCACAAAAGTTACTTTAAACATTTTTTTCAACTCATTATGAATCATTTCCCAATATGCTTTTGTTATCTTGCACGCCCACCACATGTGGCAGAATGTGCCTTCTTTTTCTTTACACTTCCAACAAATATTTGTAGCTCTTCTATACATTTTTGCTAATTTAGTAGGAGTTAGGTACCAACGGTACATCGTTTTCATATGGTTTTCCTTCAACATACAGCAGAGGACAGGATTAAAAATTAAGCTTGTGGCGCTTTCTCTTCTCCCTGCAGCCACCCTTGTGTGATTCGTGGGCAGGTGATGACATCGGACGGGACCCCGCTCGTTGGCGTGAATATCAGCTTTGTCAACAACCCTCTTTTCGGCTACACTATCAGCAGGCAGGATGGCGGGTATGTATGTGGGCCCCTTTCTGCCTTTTCGTTGTGTGAAGTGCAAGGCTGGCTTCAATGCAGAGGCTTGGCTGTGAAGAATTATTATTATTATTGTCAGGGGCTCAGGAGCAGAGGCACAGGGGAGAGAGGAAATGGAAAGCGAAGGGGAAGAATCTGAGGGCAGTGGAGGGGAGAATGACAGTGACCCGAGAGATTCCATGAGCCTCTCCAGCGAATCAGAAGATTCCCAGAAGGGGGCGCCGATGGTCAGGGCAAGGGGGGTCCCAGGGGGGACGCACCAGAAGCAAGGGGCCAGCGGGGACTCCCAAAGCAGCAGCGGGAGATCAGGACCAGCTTCCCCACCAGAGCGTAGCGGGGGGGAAGAGTCCCATGTATCAGGGCCAGCGTCTCCTCCAGCAGGGAGAGAAGATGAGTCAGGGCTGACCACGCCTCTATCGGAGAGTGGGGGAACGGAGGGGAGGTCAGATCCAGCTAGCCTCCCCGAAGGGGGAAGCAGTGACAGGAGCAGTGTAACGGTCAGGAGGAAGGTGACCGGTTGGGCGCGTGCGCCAAGTTCAAATGTACAGGCGCGCGGGACAGCAGAAAACCCGGATTGGGAACCAGGTCCTAAAGCCCGCCGGAGGCAGGGGGAAGACTCAGGGGACTCAGCGTCAGAAGAGTCTAGGAAGGGGAAGACCCCAGCGGACAGGCGGACCCAGAGGAGGAAAGAGCAAAGGAAGAGGTGGAGCAAGGCTAGAGTCTTAAACTGGTGTCTGGGGGGAGGAGACTCAGACGGAGCTTCGGCGGTCTAGAGTTTGAGACGTGGAGCTGCGCGCCGCGGCTGTGAAAGCGAAACTGAGCTTCAATAAAGACTGTTTTATATAACAACGAACTGGCATTGGTCCTTTGTGAGCTGGGACATAGGGCAGCTCTGACAATTATTATTATTATTATTATTATTATTTATTATTTATTATTTATACCCCGCCCATCTGGCTGGGTTTCCCCAGCCACTCAGCTTGTCTGTTTCATAGGGTGCTTGCAGATTCCTTTCGTTCCTTGCTGGGTGTGGACTGGCACTAATAAATAAGCAGGCTGTGAATTAGGTGGGGAAGTTAGAACCTTCCAACTTCTAAGGAAAGCTGCTACTCCCGATACAACCTTTGAAGGTGACCTGGAAACTACAACTAATCCAGAATGCGGCAGCTAGACTGGTGACTGGAAACGGCTGTAAGACCATATGACACTGGTCCTGAAATACCTGCATTGGCTCTCAGTACATTTCTGGGCACAATTCAAAGTGTTGGTGCTGACCTTGAAAGCCCTAAACGGCCTTGGCTCAGTAGACCTGAAGGAGCGTCTCCACCCCCATCGTTCTACCCGGACACTGAGGTCCAGTGCCGAGGGCCTTCTGGCGGTTCCCTCACTGCGAGAAGTGAAGCTACAGGGAACCAGCGTCCTCTAAGCATCTCAGGTGCATGTTGCATTGAAACATTGGAAACCTCAGTGGAGTTGCGGCTGTTTTCCGGTGCTGCGGCTGAGTCCTAGCCATGCCAGGAGAATATAGGAGCGGGGCATTCCAAGGGCACTAGGGAGAGCCCTGCTAAGGCTGTGTGCATGTCCACCTCGGTGGAAAAATTCGCAAGGCCAAGCTGTAAAACTCGCTCTTCCTTTTTCAACAACAAAATTCTCACTTTGAGCCATTGACTAGGTAGGACTGCAGACCACACACTTCTGAAAGAGTTTTCGTAAAGGCCAGGGCAGCCCTTGTCAGAGAGAACGCTTTGATGCTTCTTGATAGGAGGAGAGTTTTGCTGCCGGTTTTCGTTTTGATTCCGCCGGCTTGGGTCTTATCTCTCTTTCTCTTTCCTTCATCACTTCTTGGCCTCATCAAGGTAACTTCAAGGCGAAGGCAGGATCTGGTGACTAGCTGCATCTCCCGCAACAACAATGTCGCCTCTGTGTTTTCCTCGCCTGCTTGAGATCGATTCCTTCCCTTTTTTCCCCCAGTTTCACGGTTGTGCCAAAAGGAAGCACAGATCTAAAGCTCATTAGAGTTCACTGTTCCTAGCAACTCCCCTCGCCAGTGAGGCAAAGAAGAGATGTTTTCATTTATAAACGACCCTGCTTTTTTTCCAGCCGCTTGTTGAACTCCTTTTTATTTTTAGTATTTAAAAGGAAAACAACCCCAGTCCTTTTTGTAGTCTCCCCCCCCACACACACATTTCATACTCAGCCCCAGGCTGCTTTCTAGGCTTTGCCAAATGCTAACTAGCTGTTAAAAATGCCCTCATCAAGACTTAAATGCTCTTCATTTCGCTGGCAAGCAACAAATGGAGGCTTTTAAAAGCGAGCGGCCAGAGTTTTTGATGTCTCTATTTGAATTGCAGAATAAACATCTCACTTCATTTATATATATATATAGAGAGAGAGAGAGAGAGAGAGAGAGAGAGATTTTAAAAAATGGAAGTGTTTTATTATCACTTCATGGCAAAAAAACCAAAAACTGTCCTCTCTAAGTCACACATTTGGGATGCTCCCAGGTTTATTCTCTAGGGCTGTACACACTAACCCATTCAAAGCACAAAATTGTGGGTTTCCCCCAGTGTGGAACTGTTTAGGCCTATCCTTACTATACTGCTTGCCTTCTAGACTGCCGTCAACCAAGGTTGGGTGTAGTTATTTTATTGTCCTCTTCATGAGGTTATCCAGCACTTGCCCCAGGTGCATAAAGAAAGAAGTGGTGGTTGCAATCTTTATTTTTACTGATATTTTATTAGAATAATTTCATTTATAAAAAGACCATGTGAGAAAAGAACCTGTGGGTCTAGATGACCCTCTAGGTCCTCCGCCCCCCGACTCTACAACTCAACGACACCCTCCCATGTGCTGAACTATAGATTTCAAGCTCCGTGGGGCAGGGGCCCACCCTCCTGTGCTATGCAAAGCGAAATGTGTATCCATGGCACAAAGATAATAGAATCATAGAACTGTAGAGTTGGAGTCTATTTCAACCCCCTGCAATGCAGAAATCCTTTGTAGGGCTCGAACCCACGACCCTGAGATTAAGAGCCTCATGCTCTCTTGGCTGAGTTATCCCAGCAGACAAACGCCTTTGCCAGATTCTCCTGCTAGCATAAAGCTACCAGACAGACCACCTGTTTGGCGTGATCTGGAAGCTGTTGTTGTTTAGTTGTTTAGTCGTGTCCAACTCTTCATGACCCCATGGACCAGAGCACGCCAGGCACTCCTGTCTTCCACTGCCTCCCACAGTTTGGTCAAACTCATGTTCATAGCTTCGAGAACACTGTCCAACCACCTCATCCTCTGTCGTGCCCTTCTCCTTGTGCCCTCCATCTTTCCCAGCATCAGGATCTTTTCCAGGGAGTCTTCTCTTCTCATGAGGTGGCCAAAGTATTGGAGCCTCAGCTTCAGGATCTGTCCTTCCAGTGAGCACTCAGGGCTGATTCCCTTCAGAATGGAGAGGTTTGATCTTCTTGCCGTCCATGGGACTCTCAAGAGTCTCCTCCAGCACCATAATCCAAAAGCATCAATTCTTTGGTGATCAGCCTTCTTGATGGTCCAGCTCTCACTTCCATACATCACTACTGGCTTTAACTATATGGACTTCTGTCAGCAAGTCTCTGCTTTTTAGGATGCTGTCTAGGTTTGTCATTGCTTTTCTCCCAAGAAGCAGGCGTCTTTTAATCTGCAGTGATCATGGAGCCCAAGAAAGTAAAATCTCTCAGTGCCTCCATTTCTTCCCCTTCTATTTGCCAGGAGGTGATGGGCCCAGTGGCCATGATCTCAGTTTTTTTGATGTTGAGTGTCAGACCATATTTTGCGCTCTCCTCTTTCACCCTCAATAAAAGGTTCTTTAATTCCTCCTCACTTTCTGCCATCAAGGTTGTGCCATCTGCATATCTGAGGTTATTGATATTTCTTCCGACAATCTTAATTCCGGCTTGGGATTCATGCAGCCCAGCCTTTCACATGATGATTTCTTCATATAAGTTAAATAAACAGGTACAAATATGTAGATCCTTATTATCCTAAAATGCATATAATTGCCAATAACCTAATATATTCTTTGTAAGCTCATTCCAGGTATTGTATTCATCCCAAGAAAGTCTGTGTCAATAAACTGTCCATTCATAAGTTGCCAATGTTGCCATGTTGTCAAGCCATTGATTAAGGAGAATCGTTATCTCTGTTCTTCCAGTTCATCAGCATCAGTCTCTCAGCCACCATTAGGGCAGATAGAATCTATTTTCGCTGTCCTGTTTTCAATTTCCATACAATGGGCATATAATTCAAGAGAATATTCACCTCTGAAAATCTCAATTTTTTTCCATAGATGACCCCCACTTTTAAGCATAATTTTTAGAGGAAAAAACCCTAGTCTTATACACTGAAAAGTATGGTCGTTTCCATTGATTCTATAACAAAATGCTCCTTGTGTACACCGCTTAAATTAGACTGGTTCTCAGGTTCCGTCCGATGGTCACTTTCCAGTGTGACCCGGGAACTGTGAAGCTTAGTGAAGGGTTGAGCTGCACAGGTTTCCAATGCCTGGTTCTTGTGTTTACATTGACAGCTTTGACCTGGTGACCAACGGCGGCATCTCCATCATCTTGCACTTTGAGCGGGCGCCTTTCATCACCCAGGAGCACACCCTCTGGCTGCCGTGGGACCGCTTCTTCGTCATGGAGACCATCGTCATGAGGCACGAAGAGAACGACATCCCCAGCTGCGACCTGAGCAACTTCGCCCGGCCCAACCCTGTGGTCTCGCCTTCCCCTCTGACGGCGTTCGCCAGCTCCTGCTCGGAGAGAGGTCCCATCGTCCCGGAGATACAGGTAGGACCACAAGGGGGAGAAAGGGCATTTCTGATCGCAGGTCCAGCTTGTCTGTACTGAGCAGGGAGGTTGTGGTCTCAGAGCCCAGCTCAACATGGGAAAAACAAGCAAGCCAAACCATAGCTGTCAACCGTCCCTTATTTGGCGGGAAACTCCCTTATCCCAGCGCCGTGTCCCGCTGCTGTCCCTTATTGATGATGTCCCTTAAATTTCCCGGGTTTCATGCTCGCCCAGCTAGGGAGGGAAGCAGCGGCTCGGGGTCCTCCGTGTTGAGAGAGCACACACACGAGCTGCCGCATCTCCGCTCTCCCTTTTCCCTCTCAGGGGCACGTCTTGAGGTGACGGGTGGCGGCGGGCGGGCAGGCAGCCCCTCTCTTGGGAGACTTCTGCCGCGCTGCCATGGGAAGCCGGAGGCGGCAGTGGAGGCGGCCTGAGGGAGGAGGAAGAGGAGGGGATGGAGAGGGACGCAGAAGGACGGCGCTTCAGCGGCCGCTGCGGTGCCGCAACTGCCTCATGCTAGGCTCGCGGGTGGCGTGGACGAGAGTCTCTCTCCTTCCTTCCCTCCCTCTCTCTCGGGCGGGGAAGGGTCGTTGGAACTCCTCGCGCCATGACGACGGCAGCCCCGACGTGCTGCTTAGCATACCCTCCAACCAGTGCAGCATCTTAATGTAGTGATTTCCCCCTCTGCATCCCTTTCATAACTCTGCTTTTATAAATCATTTGTCCATCCATAGTTCAATTTTTTACTACAAGTTTTCTGTCAATCCTACCAATGTATGTAACTCTTTACAATAGCTTTTCAACTAAATTATAAACTTTCCCCATTCTTTATTGAAGAGGTCCTCTTCCTGGTTTCTAATTCTGCCTGTAAGCTTTGCCATCTCGACGTCGTTCATCAGTTTTGTCTGCCCCTCTTATTTGGTCAGAGCTGTAGACCCTTAGGATCATCTAGTCCAACCCCCTGCAAAACACAGTCAGTGGCAGCCAAAGCAGCATGGCTCCATGAGTGCCGGATTTCTGAATAATCTAAGCAAAATCCCTTATTTTGGCTGTTGATCCCTTATTTCCGAGGCTGCTGGTCCCTTATTTTCAAATCTGTAAGTTGACAGCTATGAGCCAAACGGGCGCGTACATACGTTAGAACCAGCATTAACAAAATATCATGTTGTGATTAAAGCAGCGATAATGCCAGATTTTGAAAAAGTAAGACATTTTTTAAAAACCCAGTTAAAACGAATTTCAGCACATCTACAAGTCAGCTTACAGGCCAGCCAAAGCCTTTTCTAATTATAAATCGCTCTGTCAGAACTGAACTGATATTACCCTTGCTGGTAACTTTCCCGGGAAAATCAGAGGCTCACTATGTCAGATTCCTATTGGAAGACCGGACAAATGCTAGAACATTGGCAGTGGTGAAGTTTTTATCGGTGGTTTCAAGAACCAATGATCCCTATCTTTAAGTCTGAACAAAATGCTTGTTTAACCTGGAGGTAGGCTGTCTGGATTGTGCATTGCTTTGTAACAATTTGTTGGGTCTCTGGACCGTAATAAAGATTTTATATATAATTATAAATGCCTTTGCTTGTGAAAAGGCCAAACTACATGTTGCATGTACAGTGGTACCTTGGTTCTCAAACTTCATCTGTTCCGGAAGTCTGTTCCAAAACCAAAAGCATTCCCAAACCAAGGCGCGCTTTCCCATAGAAAGTAACGCAAAATGGATTAATCCATTCTAGACTTTTAGAAACAACACCTAAAGCAGCATTCTATATTCAGATAGGTAGCCATGTTGGTCTGACGCAGTCAAAATAAAAAATAGTCAAGTAGCACCTTAGAGACCAACTACGTTTGTTCTGGGTATAAGCTTTCGTGTGCATGCACACTTCTTCAGATACCACTTAAAACAGCAATTTAACACGAGTTTTACTATCTAACGAGACCATTGATCCATAAAATGAAAGCAATAAACAATGTACTGCAGTCACACAATGAATCCATCAGTAGCTGAACTGGGTTCCACACAAAAACAAACAAAAAAGAGCCACAAAAACGCAAAATAAATCTTAAAAACAAACAGACCTTTGCGTAACACTCAAAACGGAAGTGTGGCACTCAAAACAGAAGCGTAACACTCAAAACGGAGCACGTTCAGCTTCTGAAAAATGTTCGCAAACTGGAATACTTACTTCTGGGTTTGCAGTGTTTGGGCTCCATGCCGTTTGAGTACCAATGCATTTGAGAACCAAGGTACCACTGTAGTTTATTTTCTGGGCAGGCACTGCTAAATGCAAAGCAGCCACGGATGGCAGACTTGAGAACCAATGTGTTTGGAGGAGGGGCAGGCAAGGGTAAAACTTCCCTTGCCCCCAATTTGTCTGTTCAAAATCCTCCTCCTCAGCTGCCATTTTCTCCCAAGAGGGGGAAAAGATACAGGGGGACAATGCCCTTTCCTTAAATGACAGAAAACCAACTGGGGAGAATCCTTAATAGACCAATGCCTTCAAAGAGAGGGTTAAACAGCCACTCGCATTGTAGCACCCTGCTTGTGGTTAACGCTTAGCTGGAATGAAATATTCAACGCAGCAATAGAGAAATTAAATAATTATTTATTTGTCAGACAAATAAATGAGAGGCACAGTGGTATATGATTACCAAGCTCTGGCCTGGCCTCCTGCCATTATGGCCAGCACTTATATTCCCTTAATCCAGCCCCCTTTGCTCCTCCTGTGGCTGCCTCTGTCCCATCAGCCTGGTTGAAATTCCTATTGGCTGATTGGTATAACCAATCACAAAAATACACTCATATCCTCCTATCCTTATAAGGGAGACAAAGAGCTATATATAAATGACAAATAAGTAATAATATATCTTACATGGAATCTTAATTACCAGCTCACCTCTTGCCCTCCTTGCCCTATTGCCTTCTAAAACAAATGGTTAATCTTAAATTTTTATCTTAAACATATGTCAAGGATCTTGAGTTTCACATCAATATTGAAAGATCTCCTTCATTTGAAGGTTTCTAAACAAATGTCTGACAACTTATATATCAGGAGTGCTCGATTGGCGTCTCATTTCTGGCAGGGGGCTGGGCTCAATGGCCCCTGTGGTCTATTCCAACTCTAGGACTCTATGATTCTATGAAATAAGAATCTAACATCTAAATTTGTTACTTTCTAAATCCTTTGCATAGTTACATTTATGCCAATATATTTAATACACAACACAGGTAGCCTCTTAAAAGGAATAAGGCCTTTGTAAAGTAGAAAGGAAGGAACTCAGTAAAAAACAGTTTTTAAAGAAGGCTCTTTAGTTTACACCTTCCCCTTTCACCCTCCCTTCCAGCCTCAAAATAAAATAGGAAATAAGAAGCCTCTTCCCCTGTTCATACTCCCCCCCCCCTTCTCCAGCCAGTTGCTTGTTTTCCGTGTGCCCTTGGCCTTTTGTCCTGTGGCTCAAGTTTAAGAGAGGCCCATGGTTTTATTTTACTGTTTACCTACCACTTTTACAACTTAGTTGTACTCTACAGCATGCAAGGTCAGTGACCTGCTTCTCAGCCTTTTTATGACCGCAATAAACCAGGGGGCCCTTTGCTTGCCAGCTGCTTGCTGGAGCCGCTTGCTGGTTTTCTACCTTGGAAGAAACATTTGAAAATCTAAGCCCATTTAATTTAGGAACCTGATCAAATATAAGCCAATATATGCCTTGATTAAAAATGCAGTCTATATTCAGATGCCACAGCATAGCATTCCTTCCCCCTGTTCAACCTGATACAACTTTTTTAATCTGAAGAAGTGTGCATGCACACAAAAGCTCATACCAATAACAAACTTAGCTGGTCTCTAATGTGCTACTGGAAGGAATTTTTTTGTTTGTTTCAACTTTTTTAATGCTTCGCATCTAAAAAGGGGCAGGATTTTAGCATTTGGGAGAGTTGTGTCCATGCTTTGCATTCAGAAGGTCCTATTTCCAATCCCTGATATCCTTGCATAAGGTTTTGAAAGATTCCTGCCTGAAAAATGGAGAGCTGCTGCCAGTCAGAGTAGACAGAACTGGTGCTAGATGCAACGGTGGTTTTGACTCGTAAAAAACCAGCTTCCTGTGTTATTCATGGAAAGTACGCATGGCCTTTCCCCTCCTTATACAAATACACACACACACTTCTCTCTGCACAAATGCTTACTTCCCCTCTGGGTCTCGGACTAATTTGCATAGGCATTTGCATATTTTTGATATTTAAAGCTTGCCGCTCACGTCGCCATTATTTGTTTCTGCCCGTATCTGATCGACTGGCAGGGAAACGCCGGTTAACAACAGTCACCAGCGGAGACAATCTGCAATTGTCTCTGCTGGGGAGAAGGGGGGGGGGAAACCCCTCACTCCCAGAGCTATGTTATTTACAATTCGATGGGAGGGAAGGAAAGGGACTCGGAAATTATCACTCGAAGGCTTTGCAGCGTGCAGAGCAAAAGGAATCCAGATTATCTGGCATCTTGCATTGCCTCTCCTACCCAGCAGCCACTGGGTGAAAGGAGCAATGGGGTGAGATTTTTCAGAAACAGAGGGAGATCCCAGTGTGAAACCTACCTGGCTTGTGGGTTGAGAATGCTGCTTTATAAGAAGCCTATCCCTTGGGAAGGGACGCGGGTGGCACTGTGGGTTAAACCACAGAGCCTAGGACTTGCCGATCAGAAGGTCGGTGGTTCGAATCCCCACGACGGGGTGAGCTCCCGTTGCTCGGTCCCTGCTCCTGCCAACCTAGCAGTTCGAAAGCACATCAAAGTGCAAGTAGATAATCTGATTGGCAAGCCCAAGAGGCTGAGTGCTTTAGACCACTGTGCCACCCATATAAGTGCCTGGCAGAGGTAGATTTAGGGGGTTCGCCTTCACTGGGCACCAAGCCGATAGGGGGATGCTGCAGCAATGATGAACAATGGAAGGCCAGAGGCAAAGGGAGCACTGAATTTTGTCACTGCCTAATGTTAAAGCCCAAAGTCTGCCACGGCACCTGAAGACAGGCAGTCAAGATTGTGTATCCACAGCGGCGACCAGAGGAGGAATGACCGCACCATGTGTGTTCCAAAGTGCTGTCATTTTGGAATTCCTTGCATCGTTTTGCACCAAAGCCTTTCGCTGCTCTTGGCTTTCTCCCACAACTGACCTTTGTTTTTTGTTTTTTATAATAATATTTATTAATTTTCCAACAAATTGAACACAACACTACAAAAAACCAAAAAAGAAAAAAACATACAATGAACATACAATAATACAATACAATAATAATAATAATAAACCCTGCAAAACACTAACATACAACTAACAAAACAAAACAAAAACCATTAAAAACACAGTCCAATTTCAATATTTTATCCTTCTTTCACTAATTTCCATGACCTCCTCACACCTCCCTTTTTGTATTCCACTTCTATTGATTGTTTCAGCAATTCCTTTCCATCTTCCTCTATTTTCGATCCTATAATTGTCTTAATACATTCTAACCTTATTTTTCCCTTTAATACTCTAATTATTTATACTTAATTCCTTATAACATTTCTACTAAAGCCATATAACTTCATTCCAACATTTTTCTAACATTCATTAATTTTACAATATTTCTGTAGATAGTCTTTAAACTTTTGCCAGTCTTCTTCCACCGACTCTTCTCCCTGGTCTCGGATTCTGCCAGTCATTTCCGCCAATTCCATGTAGTTCATCAACTTCATCTGCCATTCTTCCCTGGTGGGTAAATCTTGTGTCTTCCAATACTTCGCGATGAGTATTCTTGCTGCTGTTGTTGCATACATAAAGAAAGTTCTATCCTTCTTTAACACCAATTGGCCGACCATGCCCAGGAGAAAGGCCTCTGGTTTCTTCAGCTTTCTCCCACAACTGACCTTTGGTACGAGACACAGCGGTCGGGCAAGGAAGATGGGCCACAGCAGAGCCAAGCAATGATTTAATAACACAGCATCAGGGCAAGATGTTGCAAACAACGCTTTCTCTCCATGCGAAGACAGATTGCATTAAAGGGCCACCTCCCCTTCCTCGGCTTGTAACTGGCTGCGTTGGATTCCAGCATGCCTGGCAGATAAGCTTGTAAAATAAGTTTAAAAAATAAAAAAAAGACAAGTCCCCGGCTTTTCCCAGTTCTGTTGTTTCTTCGAGCTCATACCCAGCAAGCTATGTAAATTGAAAAGGCTGCATTCGGGGAAAGTAAATATGTATGAGATCAAGGAAACGGCACTATTAACTTTCCAGGTCTATCAGTTTGTCGAGAGATGCAAAAAAGCTCCGGGCTTATAAATTATCACTTCGGGGAAATATTTTGGGTCCTTGCTAGTAGCTCAAAGCAACCCTTTTCTTAATTATTTATTTATTTTCGCAATTTAAAGTGGCTTGGGGGACAGATGAAAAATTAACATTAAAAAAAAAAAAAACCAACTGGTAGGATTTGCCTAATCAAAGAAATCTCCGTTGATAAAATATATGAGGTTTAAGTCGACTAATCAGTGAATTGCTTAAGTTTACATGAATCTAAATGCATGAAAAAACAATAGCTGAAAATGGGGGGAAAGACATTGTTTCATTTCTTAGTTATGCATATGTGTCACACAGCCAGCACTATGTTAGAAAAGGCATTTTCTATCAACTGTAACGCTGTGTGAAGCATCCATTATTCCTGAGTCACCAAGGATTGCCTAACTTTTTGCAGTGTATCCTCTCCCACACACACACACACACACACACACACACATAATCTACACACATAATTGGAAATGTGCACCAGAGATAGCCAACATGGTGCCCTCCTGATGTGATTGGACTACAACACCCATCAGCCCAGACCGTTGGCCACACTGACTAGGGATGATGGGAGTTAGAAGTCCCAGTACCATTTGCAGAGCACTGCATTGGCTACCCTGTCTGCCTTCTGATCAAATAGAAATGTTTGCTGCGGCAATCCTTTTCGTTGGCATCCATCAGTCCCGAGAGACAACGGAGTGTGCCTCGGGAGGTGAAGTTAAACTGCTGTGTTAGTGGTACCAACATGATATCCCTGGAGTGTTATTGAGGTCCTGGGCTGCTCAGATGACAAGACACACACCCCCTCGGCCCCGTTGATGTGGTCCAAAGGAAAGCAGAGCAAGATGTTTGGCACCAGCTTGGCTGCAGGCGTTGCCGGAAGGAAGCATACAAGGCGCTGTCCAAATGCCTTAGGGCCTCCACTCCAGATTTGTGTAGGTTTATCCTGTTGTCTTTGTCCATGGAGTTATCTTGGCAGGGATACTGGAATGGCTTCCAGGTGGAACACGTTTGGTCAAAACTCTCCACTATGACCTGTCCATGTTGGGTGGCCCTGCACGGCATAGCTCATAGCTTCTCTGAGTTATTGAAGCCCCTTTGCCACGGCAAGGCAGTGATCCATGAAGGAGGATCTTTGCCAACAAAGATCTGCCAACAAAGGTCCGTATAGTTAAAGCTATGGTTTTCCCAGTAGTGATGTATGGAAGTGAGAGCTGGACCATAAAGAAGGCTGATCGCCGAGGAATTGATGCTTTTGAATTATGGTGCTGGAGGAGACTCTTGAGAGTCCCATGGACTGCAAGAAGATCAAACCGATCCATTCTGAAGGAAATCAGCCCTGAGTGCTCACTGGAAGGACAGATCCTGAAGCTGAGGCTCCAATACTTTGGCCACCTCATGAGAAAAGAAGACTCCCTGGAAAAGACCCTGATGTTGGGAAAGATGGAGGGCACAAGGAGAAGGGGACGACAGAGGATGAGATGGTTGGACAGTGTTCTCGAAGCTACCAGCATGAGTTTGACCAAACTGCGGGAGGCAGTGGAAGACAGGAGTGCCTGGCATGCTCTGGTCCAGGGGGTCACGAAGAGTCGGACACGACTAAATGACTAAACAACAATTCCTTAGGCTCCTGAACCACCTTCCGGGGAAGACCATTCCACTGGCAAACAGCTCTTACTGTCAGAAAGTCCTTCCTGGTGTTCGTTTTGGATCCCTCCAGAGCAGGAGAAAACAAGCTCACCTTGCAGAAGGAGCATTGTCTTCAAGAAATCTCGAAGCCTTGAACGAACGAAAACAAATGCTTCTGGATCTTCAGGTTACTGGAACAAAATTCCCTGCTGATCACAGGGACGCTGTTAGACCTGTTGTGTGTGTTCATGCAAATAAAGACATCTGTTATGATTCATGGTGCCATGATGGTTTTATAGATATAGATAATTGTAATTTTTGCAATTGTATGTTTTTAAAACCTTTATGTTGTCTTTTAAATTGTTGCAACCCTTTGTGGGACCTTAGAGTGAAGAGCATGTTGATAATAATGATATCACAGTTTTGTTTATACCAACTAAGAAGTCCTGCTGAGTTCAAGGTATGGATAGATAAGATTGCAGCCTGAGAGTGATGAGCATTTCTTAGCTTCCAAAAACAAGCTTATAAATTATTTTTACTTATCGGTGTGTCTTAATCGTGGGTGTATAAAACCAGAGTTCTATCCGTGAAATCAGTTTTCTTTCTTCTTCTTTTTAAGAAACGCACATAAACATCTCATAAATCGCAGCTCTGCGTATGTTTCTTTACCTGCTCGGTATGTGATATAATAACACACTTTGGTGTGATGCTTTTTTCCAGGCCTTGCAAGAAGAGATTAAAATCTCGGGCAGCAAAATCAAGCTGAGCTACCTGAGCAGCCGTACGCCCGGCTACAAATCGGTCCTGAGGATCAGCTTGACCCATCCTACCATCCCGTTCAACCTCATGAAAGTCCATCTCATGGTAGCCGTAGAGGGACGCCTGTTCAGGAAGTGGTTTGCTGCCGCCCCGGATCTCTCCTACTACTTCATCTGGGACAAGACTGACGTCTACAACCAGAAGGTGTATGGGTTATCGGAGGCCTTTGGTAAGAGCTTGCTCTCCATCCCGTATCACATGAGCTTCCCTATCCATTCAGTTGACCGATGCCCTTTTGCACCTTCCACCACCATCTGGCAGACAGGACAACGCTAGAGCAGGTATAGGCAAACTCGGCCCTCCAGATGTTTTGGGACTACAACTCCCATCACCCCTAACTAACAGGGCCAGTGGTCAGGGATAATGGGAATTGTAGTCCCAAAACATCTGGAGGGCCGAGTTTGCCCATGCCTACACTAGAGGGCTTTTGCCGCCGCTGCTCCTGAATGGTGGAACTCCTTGCCCCAGGACGACATCCACCCAGCTTCCACCTTGTTGATTTCCTGGCACTTCTAAATACCGTTTTATTTTTCGCCTGCCTTCGGCCCAGCTCATAACTCATTAATTTCTTTTCTTTTTTCCCTGGCTCTTTTGGGTGTATGATTTATTCTTTTTAATCTGCTGCTCCTTGTTCTTCTTTTATGCTTTGCTTGGCTTGGTTTTGGGGAGGACTGATTGCTTTTAAACGTCTGGTGTAAGTCACTTCCAGGGTTTCTGTGATGGCAGGAGGGAAAGGTGGTTGTTGATGGTGACAGTCCCGCCCCCATCAAGTTGGAGAACGGGAGTGGGATGGAGAATTTCAGTTGCTTCCTCCCTTCCAAGTGGAAAAGCTGAGCCAGGCTACATCCACAACTTAAGCAATTACCATGGGCAGAGCAAGGAGTATTGCTCAGCCTGTTTTTTTTACCATTTGCTGGGAACTGGAACTTGGAGCATGTGGCTGGCCACTGTGATAACAAGATACCGGGCTAGATCTGCCTTGGGCCTGATCCTGCAGCAACTTCCTTCTTTCCTTACACTCCATAACTGGGGTACTTTCTGTTGCCCCCAGACAAACATCAGCCTCCAGGCCCTGAGAGAGAGGGAGTAAGGAGCTTTCCCTCACTCGCTGCTCACCCGCTCTATAAGACTCACTTTTTTTGCTCTATAAGACTCACTTTTTCCCTCCTAAAAAAAGTAAAGGGAAATGTGTGTGTGTTTTATGGAGCGAATGCAGCTATCCCAGAAGCCAGAACAGCAAGAAGGATTGCTGCTTTCACTGCGCAGCAATCCCTCTTGCTGTTCTGGCTTCTGAGATTCAGAATATTTTTTTTATTGTTTTCCTCCTCCAAAAAACTAGGTGCGTCTTGTGGTGGTCTGGTGCGTCTTATAGAGCGAAAAATACGGTACATGTGGGTTGTCCTAAAACACAGCACGTTCTCTTTCTGCGTTTAGTTCTTTCTCCTCCTGTCCTGCATCAGTGGACATCTCTGCCCACTAAAGCAGAAAAAAAGTGCAAAATGCAAATCGAAGACCTTGAGCGTTCCATGTCTAATAAACACGTCCCTGATCCGGCCGTTTTAAAATCATTAGCGCATTTGTTCAACACCTATTACTACGCTGACCTTTTTTATAATGCTCCGTAGCCTTTAAAAAGGGATGCTCTGCATGGATGTGACGATGTTTTAAATAAGTATCTGCTGTAGCCTGCAGAAATCCCCTTCTCACCAACCCGGCCACCCAATTAGAAACCTCCATTCTGTGCTGAGTGAGCACTTCTAAGGCCATTAAGCTGCGAGTCTCCATTTCTCTCTGTCTCTCCCTCCCAGTTTCGGTGGGCTATGAATACGAATCGTGTCCAGACCTGATCCTGTGGGAGAAGCGAACGGCGGTGCTTCAAGGTTACGAGATCGACGCTTCCAAACTCGGAGGGTGGTCTCTGGACAAGCACCACGCCCTCAACATCCAGAGCGGTGCGTCGGGTCTTCTTGGCCCCAGCTTCCTCCTTCTCCCCACGCCGCCCCGAATTGCAAATAATAAAAATAGCACAGGGGTTGACACAGTTGCACGGCAAGCGGTAGCTTGGTCGCCATTAATAATTCAGCCCAAACGAGAGAGGGGGGCGCGCACACATACATTGCTAACAAATTATTTATTGCAACCTACATATGGTGCCAACTTCTTTGGGTGTGCATGCGGGAAGCAACTGGCCTCTGCAAATCCCTTGCAAGCGTTTTTCTTCTGGCAGAGATTGCCCCGAGTGCCGCCGTCCTTCTAGAGTAAGCGCTTGAATTCCGGTGCGTCTGGGGTGAGCGGAGGAAATCCAGGCACACGGTCTGGGGGTGGCAGCCTAGATTTCCTCTGCTCACGACACAGAGGTGCGTCCTTTAGAGGAGCTGCGTTGCAAAGAAACCTGAGCAGGACTAGAGGGTGGTAGATCACAGCGGGACAGCAAGGGAACTTTGCTGGGAGATCTAGCAGAACTGTTGTTTCCTGCGTGGCTGGTGGCTCACTAACACGTAACTAAAAAAGGTAAAGGGACCCCTGACCATTAGGTCCAGCCGTGGCCGACTCTGGGGTTGCGGCGCTCATCTCGCTTTATTGGCCGAGGGAGCCGGCGTACAGCTTATCAGCCAAAGGAATGCTTTTGCCTGGTGCCTAAAGGTGTATAATGAAGGTGCCAGGTGAGCCTCCCTGGGGAGAGCATTCCACAAACGGGGAGCCACTGCAGAAAAGACCCTGTTCTCATGTTGCCACCCTCCGGACATCTCGTGGAGACGGCATACAAAAATTAGCTCCTATCTTGCTCTGAGGCTTGGTATAGGAAGCAAGGAAGCTGAAGGGGTAACAGGGTTTAGTGAGCAGGAAGAGGCTGTGGCAGAGAGCAGTCTAGAATCAGAAGCTGAAACAGGAGGAGAGAGGAGCGGAGACAGGCGCGTCGGCATAGTCTCAGATTGCTTGCCCAGGAGAGAAGGAGATTTAGGCAGTCATTGGGGACCTTCAGCCTCCACATCTGTCTCATAGTGTCAAGACCCCTGAGCAGTTCCTGTTTCTTCCAGCAAAGAGTTAACTTCACTTACGCTGTGTGATTTATTGCTGGCTGGCTTCCCAACAGCTACCCTGGCTGCAGCCTCCAAAACCTTCACAGTAGAGTCACCCCCTCTCTGTTTTGCTTTCTGTTATTCTCCAGGTATCCTGCACAAAGGAAATGGGGAGAACCAGTTCATCTCCCAGCAGCCACCTGTCATAGGGAGCATCATGGGGAACGGCCGCAGGAGGAGCATCTCCTGCCCAAGTTGCAATGGCCTTGCCGATGGGAACAAGCTTCTTGCTCCTGTTGCCTTGACTTGTGGCTCGGACGGAAGCCTTTACATCGGGGACTTCAACTACATCCGTAGAATCTTCCCCTCTGGAAACGTCACCAACGTACTGGAATTAAGGTTAGGAGGGGATAGATCTGTCTATTACTGTGTCTCTTTTGAATTTGTGCATCCATTAAAAATAATAATAATAATAATAATAATAATAATAATAATTATTATTATTTATTATTTATACCCCACCCATCTGGCTGGGCTTCCCCAGCCACTGTGGGTGGCTTCCAACAAAATATTAAAAAACAGTAATGCATCAAACATTAAAAGCTTCCCTAAACAGGGCTGCCTTCGGATGTCTTCTAAAAGTCAGATAGTTGTTTATTTCCTTGACATCTGATGGGAGGGCATTCCACAGGGAGGGCGCCACTACCAAGAAGGCCCTCTGCCTGGTTCCCTGTAACCTCACTTCTTGCAATGAGGGAACCGCCAGAAGTCCCTCGGAGCTGGACCCTCAGTGTCCGGGATGAACAATGAGGGTGGAGACTGTTCTTCAGGTCTACTGGGCCGAGGCCGTTTAGGGCTTTCAAGGTCAGCATCTAGTAGTTGTTCTTCTCTTTGACATCTGGTGGGAGGGCGTTCCACAGGGCGGGTGCCACTATCGAGAAGGCCCTCTGCCTGGTTCCCTGTAACTTGCCTTCTCGCAGTGAGGGAACTCCCAGAAGGCCCTGGCGCTGGACCTCAGTGTCCGGGCAGAACAATGGGGGTGGAGACGCTCCTTCAGATATACTGGACCGAGGCTGTTTAGGGCTTTAAAGGTCACCACCAACACTTTGAATTCTGCAAGGAAACATTCTGGGTCCATTTCATCTCATTTTTATGCTAAACTGTGATTTTCCTTTTAAGCAACCCACACAAAAACCCATGTTTTAAATGCATATTTTCTCTCTCACTCTCGAAATGTGCATTTCTAAACGTATTTTATCCTAAAATCCAGAGAAGTGCAGAATCCGAGAGACTGTGACAACACCGCCTGCACGTTCAAAATCTGCAAAGAGCCAGTTCCACAAGCCCCCCAGTTCTGATAGCCAGCTTGAGCTCCGACTATTATGGGATCCAGTAGCTAAGTGAGAGCAAAACTTTGCAATGAAAGGACGGACAGGGCAAATGGGGCACAGAGAAGGCTTTGCCTAAGAAGCTGAGCATCTCCTTGGCGGCGCTTCTGCTGCCCATGCTGCAAAATTAATATGCAGCCCCAAGGAAATATCTAATATTGGAAGGGTAGCAGGGGTAATGGGAACATTAGAGAGCCATTCTAAGTAGGACAGCAAGTTAGCTGTGATTTATAGGTCCCAAACCTTCCTGAAGCTACCTTCTTCTTGGCCGTCCTACCAACTCCCTGCAGAACAGGAACAAGTTGGAAGGGACAGTGCAATCCAATGGAGAGCTCTGCCGATAAGGGCAGTAAGTTCATAGAAGCGGGCAGGAAGCCTCTTTAGGATTTGAGGGTGGGCTTTCTGCCCTCAGAAATAATGGAAAGGTGACCTGCCATCGGAAGGAATTCTCCCCCTGTGTGCTTCCCTTGTGTCCATATTAGTGGAATGGCAACAGCGCTGAGAAGCTGCCAGAAAGATCTGTCCTTTACTCCTGCGACTGTCTCGAAAACGCAAGCAAGAGCCGTAGAGGGTTGGGTTTTAATATTGTGCAGCAGCAGAATCCAGCGCAACAGCTGTGCTTCGCAGAAACTCCTTGCACAAGTGTTTGTGCAAACTGCCATTGCGTTCTCTTTGTGCAACAACATCCCAGCAGAGCAAGTCGTACAGTTAAGGTTGCTTTAGCGTAGCACTATGTTGGATGCAACCCATAATGTCCAGACATCTAGAGATTGTGAAAGGGTTCGTTCCGAGCCTGCCTTCGCTTTGAGTCTGGGGCTTCTAAAGAAATTAGTCCAAACCAGACAGGAGCCTACTTCCAAATTTCCTTTCCCACTCAAGATCCAAAAATTCTGGAAAGGAAGTGTTGCAGTCTTTTCCCACAGCCCAATTTCAAGCTAATGTTTGCTTCCTTAGTTAGCATTAAAAAATAATAATGCAGGGACAAAATTGCAGGCACATTAAGTGGTATAAAACCACTTTGAATATGGTGTTATTAAGCATCCGGTGTTCAGGACCTGGGACTCTTAGAAACAAAAAATCTGGACTGAGGCTGCTTTGGGTAAAGGTTTGTTTTAGAATAGTTTCCTTGTCCATGTTTCCATGCAAACTACAGCTCTTCCTTCCATAATTCTCTGTAAATCCTGGGGTGGACTAGCCTATGCTTAGCTCAGAGTGTTCTGGAATTCTGGTCTGGATCAATCCTGGTCTAGACTTTACAAAGCCATTCCTAAATCAGATGAGATCATAGCGGGGGGAAAGGGGCTATGTTCAGTGGGAGAGACATGCTCTACATGCAATAGGTCCCAGCATCAGTCCCCAGCATCACTCCTTCCAAGTAGGCAGCATGTGTGAGAAAGACCCTGGGGAGCTGCTGCCAGTCGAAGCAGACAACACTGGTCTAGGTGGGCAAATAATCTCAATGAATTTAAAGGCAACCTTCTGCCTAGCCCCCAGCCCCCCCCCCAAAATGCTTTCCCAGATCCTCAGAAGAACAACTTACTTCCTTGCCTCCAAAGTAGGCATACTCTGGTATGAAAGCAAGACTTCAGCCGTTTCTGTTCCTTTGTGCTTAAACACCCAAGGATCAAGGAATTATTAAAGGCCCACAGACTGGCTGGTCTCAGCTAATGGCCATCCGGGGAAACTGTGGCCTTTTTGGAGGGCGCAAACATTTTTTTAAAACTCTGTGCCTCTTTCAAAGCCCGTTCCCTTGGAGATGACTGCCATTTCAGTGTGGTTTCTTTGTGGGGGGCCCTGTTTTCCAGAGGGCTGTAAAACGGGGTTTCGGAAAAGGTTGCCGCGAGGGAAGGTTTGTAACTTTTGTTCGAGAACAACGACAACAACAAAAAGCAGCCTCAACATCAGCGCGGCTCTCCCCTCTCTCTCTCCTGCGGCTGCTTTTTGAGCCTCGCTCAAACGTTTTTTAAAAATACACACCGACGTGCATTGTTGGCCGTGATGCTGCAGCTGCTAAATTGCCTTTCTGTAAAATAGAAGACCGGTGGTACGAACTGCTTTTCCCCACTTTTTCTTAAGACACTAATGCTCACAGTATGAGGCCTGTTCGCACAGCTGTTCTTTGCATTCACGAGGACACGGCGGTGAAAGGGGAAAGGTACCCGGTCCACCATGTGTGACTGTATGAGTCGTCCCTAAAGCGCCAGGGAGATCTGTCTCAAAAAACGACATCTTGAGATGGAGGAGACCGTGGGAACCGCGGACCCCATGACAACTGCTCTGCGTCCCTCCGTACCTAAGCTGCAACTCCAAAGGCATCCAGGAGATCACTTTCTCTCCTCGCCCCCCCCCCCCAGTGATGGGCAGCAGCAACGTACAAGGCAGCTCCTCTGACAAGTAATCTCCATTATGAAATGTATCAGTGTCAGGCTTGCTAAATCTTTATTTATTATTGCCTTGTACAATGTGGTTGTTACTGTCAAGTTTTCAGCCTGCTAATAATGCTTCGGAGCTCAGCCGCTAACCTCTCTCTCTCCTCTCTCTCTCTCTCTCTCTCTTCCTCCTCCTCCTCCTCCTGTCTTGTTCTTCTTCTGCTTTCCTGCTCTTCTGTCAGAAATAAAGATTTCAGACATAGGTAAGCCAACAAGCGGACAACCGTCGCTTTCTCTCCCTTCCTCCGTTGCGTGTTCTCTCTCGTTTATTACTTCTTGCCTGTTGAGCTATATGGAAATGGTTGGTTTTTTTACATTGTGTATTGATTATTTGTCAAATGATATTTTATTGCTAGATGCCACATACACACACAAATCACAGTGGATGCTTGGGTTGCGAACATGATCCGTGCGGAATGCACGTTCACAACCTGCAGTGGCGCATCTGTGCACGCGCAGGTTGCGATTCGGCACTTCTGCGCATGTGCAGTTTAGTGCTTCTGCACATGCGCGACTGCCGAAACCCAGAAGTAACCCGTTCCGGTATTTCCGGGTTTTGGCAATCCATAACCCGAAAAAACGCAACCTGAAGCATCTGTAACCCAATGACTGTACAGACGAAACATGCCTTGCAAAGAGGAGTAGAGAAATGCATGCAGGATAACAGCTACTAGCCAAAATGGCTGCCTTCTGCCTCCACTATTGGAGGTGTTTTGGCTCTGAATACCAGTTGCTGCCCATCTCAAGTGGAAAGAGTGCTCATGTCTGCCTTCCCACTGGCATCTGGTTGACCATTGTGAGGACAGGATCCTGGACTAGATGGGCCATTTGGTCTGCCCCAACAGGGCATTTTTTTATATTCCTAGGTACTTTTCTAAAATCATGCCCAGGACATGCCAAGATTATGTGCTTTCTGAACTTCAATGGTCTTTTCTGCCGGAGAGAAATGTTTGGAAGAGAGATCTCTTACTCTCTGGTAGCAGAGTTAAGCACAATGCCGATTGCTCCAAGCGCATTAGAACTTGGTTAGATCTACATCTGCCCTCATCCACCCATAAATGGACATTCCCCACAAAAATACCTAGGTTAGAATAAATCACCGAGATTTCAGACTGCTTTGGGTATCAAAATGTTGCATTTGTTTACGACGTTGTTGTATGGGAATCCAGATATCTTAAACCACTCGTGCAGGGAAGGAAATCCGACTTTCCTAGCACAAATAAATATTTGTTGTTGCTTGGGGGGGTTAATCCTATGTTTGTGTGTGTGTGTGTGTGTGTGTGTGTGTGTGTGGTGCTTGTGTGCCTATTGAGACATAAGTGGGGAAATATTTTCAAGGGAGGCCCGTCCCACCGAAGCCCCGCTTACTGGGGTTGGGTGGTAGTGACTTCCAGCAAAAATTTGCCAGGGTGGGTAGGGCACCCACAGAGTTGCCGCCCCACAGGATTCTGCCACCCAAGGCAGCTGGTTCAGTCCACCCCATATGCAGGCTAGACCTGAGGGTTTTTGTCCCCCAAAGTTACATAAAAATGTGGCTCCTTTTCCTTTTTTAAACTCTGCGCTGATTGAAATTTGGTCGGGCAGCCAGATCAAATTAACTCAGGAGGTGGACCTGGCCCGTCGGCTACTACCTGCCCGTCACTTTTCTGAGGTGAAAAATGCTTTTTCTAGAAGGCCGCCAGGGGAGACTTGCCGGCACCTGTCACTCCTCCACACCTGAAGTGGTTAGAGGGGTCACATTGTCCAAATTGTCTGTGTGTCATTGTGTGTAAATCACCGCCGCGGCCTCGTCCAATTTGATGAGAGTCTCCGCGGAAAGTGCTTTTGAAAGTCTTGGAGGCAAACGAGGTGCTGGGGAATGTCAGCCGGTGGTTATTAATGCCTCTCCGGCCCACCTCCGGTGATTAGGAGCCGCTCAAGAGCTGACTGACATTCAGCCGAGCCTTGCTGGAGAAGAGCGGCAAACTCTTGGGGGCCTGATAAAAATGGATGGCGGATTCCCACAGGGCACCTTCCCCCCAACACACACACACACACAAAGTGGATTCTCAGGTTGAGTGACGGGCAGGTAAATGAAATAATACCCTGCCAGTTAGCTGTCATCGAGAAGGAATACAGATGGAGCCCAAACTGCCATCCCGAGTCGCTGAAGGTCAGAGTATTTTATTTAGCAAGAATCAGTGTCATCGTGCGCAGATGAAATCTGCTCAGACTTTAATAAGGTAAAATCACAGGGGGATATTCTGGGATAAATCAGATAGGTCTTCCCACAAACACCCCTCTCTTCTGCCCGCTCTATGGAAAAGGTACTAAGTTAATTCAATAGGCAGGGCAGAAGAGCGAGGTATTATTATATATATATTTTACAAATTGAGGGATGCCGAGCATTTGGGAGAGAGTTGAGAGAAAAGGGCAAGGTTATGTAAAATGGCCGTTTCTAGCAAGGTGCATGGCCTGAGACTTGAATGAGCCAGGTGGGACGCTAGCTAGGTAAGTAATTTGCAACATGTTCTTTGGGTGGGTTTTGTTTTTGTTTTTACAAAGTTAAGGCAGTGGCCGGACTTGCATGCCATGATAGGCCAGGGTCCCTGACTGAGGCTTCATCTGCACTATAGATTTAAAGCAGTATCATGGCACTTTCAACAGCTGTGGATTCCTCCAAAGCAGGGTCAGCAAACTTTTTCAGTAGGGGGCCAGTCCACTGTCCCTCGGACCTTGTGGGGGGCCAGACTATATTGGGTGGGGGGTGTAAATGAACGAATTCCTATGCCCCACAAATAACCCAGAGATACATTTTAAATAAAAGCACACGTTCTACTCACGTAAAAACACCAGGCAGGCCCCACAAATAACCCAGAGATGCATTTTAAATAAAATGACACATTCTACTCATGTAAAAACATGCTGATTCCTGGAGTGTCTGCGGGCCGGATTTAGAAGGTGATTGGGCCAGATCCGGCCCCCGGGCCTTAGTTTGCCTACCCATGCTCCAAAGAATCCTTGGAGCTACAGTTTGCTAAGGGTTCTGAAAGTCACTGGGAGAATCCTGTTCCCCTCAATAAAGGGCTCATCCACACTTAATCTTTGTTCCGTATTTCTAGGCACAGGTTTGAGCTTCCCTGCCACTTTCCCCGCGAAAACCTGAATTGCCATTTGCTCCAATTCAGCAGGAGAGATCAGGCTTTCTTGGGGAAAGTGGTGGGATTAAACAAAACAAAACAAAATAACACGCTTGGAGATGAACCAGGAAAGTGTGTATCTGTGCCTAGCAAAATGTGAGACGTCAGGTAAGTGCGGATGAGCCCATAATCTACAATTCTCAGAGATCTTCAGAAAGAAGGTTGGAGCAGGGAGGCTGGTTTCTCAGGGAGCAAAAAGCCACAATCCCAAGTTTGGGTGTACAGTGGTACCTCGGGTTAAGTACTTAATTCGTTCCAGAGGTCCGTTCTTAACCTGAAACTGTTCTTAACCTGAAGCACCACTTTAGCTAATGGGGCCTCCTGCTGCTGCTGCTGCACTGCTACTGCGCAATTTCTGTTCTCATCCTGAAGCAAAGTTCTTAACCTGAGGTAATATTTCTGGGTTAAGTAAGTCTGTAACCTGAAGCGTCTGTAACCCAAGGTACCACTGTAATAGGAAGTCAAGTGTGATCATAGCCTCCTAGTTTGTTTCACCTTCTTTCTCCAGGGAAAGAGCAAAGTTGGAAGGATCCAACAGCATGCACTAACAAAATAATGAACCGAGGTTATTGTAATGTGTGAACACAGCCACTGGACTGGGCGCTCCACATAACTCTGTGAGCATCCCGCCCTCTGTCTAGTGACATAACCTCAAGGAATGAATAAGGATCAGATCAGAGCTACACACGAATAAAGTGACACCTGAATCTCACAAGTCTCACTCTTGTGCCTCAGCTTTCGGGGGGAAGAGTCTGAAAAATATTGCACGGTACATAAGAGCCAAGTGTCAGGGGACAAAAGCTCATTGTTCCTCCTCCTCCAATAATGGGAGCACATTCTGTCTTTGCCCTCAGGCAATGTGTGAGCTTCATTTGACATCGCCCGTATAGCCAAACCTGATTGGCTGCATGGTGCTGTGACATCATCGCACCTCCAGCAGGATTCCTGATTGTCGTCCTGCAAATGTAGGAACAAGTTCAATATCCCGCCTCCTTTGTTTTTGCAGCCATAGCCCCGCTCATAAGTATTACCTGACCACGGACCCCATTTCCGGATCCATCTACCTCTCCGACACCAACAGCCGCCGTGTCTTTAGAATCAAGTCGATCACCGTGGTGAAAGACGTTGTGAAGAACTCGGAGGTGGTGGCCGGAACAGGAGACCAGTGTCTTCCCTTTGATGACACACGCTGCGGAGACGGTGGAAAAGCGACGGAGGCCACGCTCACAAACCCTAGGGGTAAGAGGGGCGGCCGTTCCTTAGTGGCGGGTTCGAAACAGGCAGGTTGGGTTGACCTAGGAGGTTCAGGTTGTTTTAATTTTAAAAAATGGGGTGACCCAATGCCTTTGATCTTTAGCTGGCAGCCCTGCAGGTGTAATTTTAGTCGGTGTATGTCAAGCGCTCAGCCAAGCAGAGTTTGTCCACTTTCGAATTATCTCGTCACTACGTGTAAAACAGTTGCTGCAAAAGTCCTTATCCCAGCCTTCCAGGAAGCGGGTGAATCTTTTAGGCTGCCTGCAGGGCAAACTTGACAGGTGGGAGGGGCAGCCCCACCTGCCAATCACATGACATCATGTGATTGCGCCGTAGTTCCCTTGAGCCGTAGTTACGAAGTGCCTGACAGCCATGCATTGATGCCAAACACATTTTTGGAACAAGCATGCATTTGTGTGTGTTTTTGAGTGTGGATAGATAGATAGATGATAGATAGATAGATAGATAGATAGATAGATAGATAGATAGATAGATAGACAGACAGATAGATCTACAGACAGATATAGAGGGACGCGGGTGGCGCTGTGGGTTAAACCACAGAGGCTAGGGCTTGCTGATCAGAAGGTCGGCGGTTCGAATCCCCGCGACGGGGTGAGTTCCCATTGTTCGGTCACTGCTCCTGCCCACCTAGCAGTTTGAAAGCACATCAAAGTGCAAGTAGATAAATAGGTACCACTCCGGCGGGAAGGTAAACTGCGTTTCCGTGCGCTGCTCTGGTTCGCCAGAAGCGGCTTAGTTCTGCTGGCCACATGACCCGGAAGCTGTACGCCGGCTCCCTCGGCCAATAAAGTGAGATGAGCGCCGCAACCCCAGAGTCGGTCATGACTGGACCTAATGGTCAGGGGTCCCCTTTACCTTTATAGATATAGATATATATAGTGAATTTCTTTCTGCGCAGTTATCCAAGCTGGGTTTGTTTCCTCTTTGCAGGCATCACAGTCGACAAATTTGGGTTCATCTATTTTGTGGATGGCACCATGATCCGGCGCATCGATCAGAATGGGATCATCTCAACGGTGCTCGGTTCCAATGACCTAACATCCGCCCGGCCTCTGAGCTGTGACTCAGTCATGGATATCTCCCAGGTATTTAAGGCCCCTTCATTCCTTCTCCACTGTCAAAACTGTGCGTCATCTGCCACGGCAGAACTTCTCCATCTCTTGTCTGGCAGGCCAATTACCTTTTCCTCCTCCAGGCACCTTTTCCTTACAGGCTGCGCTGCCTCCCCACGTTCTGTCACAGCGCCTTCTCGCTCAGAAGTTGGAATGTTTGTGCATATTCTGTCGTCACCGTTTAGTCATTGAGGCAATGTGCAGAGTGTGATTAAAAACAACAACTAAAAAGCAATTCAGAACAACTCCCAAAAAAAATGCAACCAAACAGAATATACATTTTTTTAAAGAAGATACAAAAAATTGAGGTTTTTCATCCAGCTGGAAAATCTTACTGATGCAGAGAAAAAACAGATACTGAGCACCTGTCATGTATCGACAGGAATGCTTTTTCACATTTGCATTTGCAGCAGGCTTCTGACATCTTAGGAACCTGTAGGAGAAGCTTTCCTACAGACTGCAATTAGTCACCTTCTGAGTGTAGAAAGCAAGGCATCCCCAAACTCGGCCCTCCAGCTGTTTTGGGACTACAATTCCCATCATCCCTGACCACTGGTCCTGTTAGCTAGGGATGATGGGAGTTGTAGTCCCAAAACAGCTGGAGGGCTGAGTTTGGGGGTGCCTGGTATAAGGTCTTGAGCTACGTAACACCTTTTATGTTAATATCAAAATCCTGAACTTGGCCTGGCAGCAGATTGCCAGCCGTTGCAAATACCGCAAGCGAGGTGTATTTGCACCAGTGATCTGTCCTAACTGGCCTGCAGACAGCCCCCAAGAGTAGCCCCACATAGAGGGCATTGCAGTCATCTGACCTTGAGGTTGCCAACGCATGGGCGACTTTGGTCAAGCTATTGCGTGGCATCACTACAGCTCAATAGGAAATTCTTCCGCAAAGGTTCTCTTGGGCTGCCACAGCTCTGCTCATTCCAAAGTATCCACCACAAATAAATCCTCTTCATTCCTGTCTCCGATGCAACCTCAGGGAATTCACAACCTTCCAATATCTTCATTTTTTTGCCTGTCTGCACTGAAATCAGCATTCTGCAATGTTTTTGGGAAGAAGATACACAGGAACTCTCAAACCGCGGTGCCCTCAAACTGCAGTAATGTAGGGGTTTCCTGCTGTATCATCACACATTTGCAGTCTGGAAAACCGGATTATCCGGCTGAGTGCAGAGGTCTTCTGGGAGGGGAAACGGCCTGACTTTGTCTCCTTATTCTCAAGCCACTTCCTGTGTTCCAACCTGGGCTTTAAATGTCTCTTTTCACCATAAGCACTCTGGACAACGTCTTCATCACATCGGAACAGCAACTGGCACGCGGTGTGCACACAATCAATATTGTGGAACTGGAGACCTGCAAATATTTTGCTGGTTGTGTTAAATCCATATGCATTTTTATTTCCTTTCCTTAAGTTTCTCTTTTACCTGCATGGCCTGTTCGGCTTCCTGTCCCCTAGTGCTCATGAAGTTATTGTTGTTTAGTCGTTTAGTCGTGTCCGACGCTTTGTGACCCCCTGGACCAGAGCACGCCAGGCACTCATGTCTTTCACTGCCTCCCGCAGTTTGGTCAAACTCATGCTGGTAGCTTTGAGAACACTGTCCAACCATCTCGTCCTCCGTCGCCCCCTTCTCCTTGTGCCCTCCATCTTTCCCAACATCAGGGTCTTTTCCAGGGAGTCTTCTCTTCTCATGAGGTGGCCAAAGTATTGGAGCCTCAGCTTCAGGATCTGTCCTTCCAGTGAGCACTCAGGGCTGATTTCCTTCAGAATGGATAGGTTTGATCTTCTTGCAGTCCATGGGACTCTCAAGAGCCTCCTCCAGCACCATAATTCAAAAGCATCAATTCTTCAGCGATCAGCCTTTATGGTCCAGCTCTCACTTCCATACATCACTACTAGGAAAACCAGAGCTTTAACTATACAGACCTTTGTTGACAAGGTGATGTCTCTGCTTTTTAAGATGCTGTCTAGGTTTGTCATCGCTTTTCTCCCAAGAAGCAGGCGTCTTTTAATTTCACAGCTGCTGTCACCATCTGCAGTGATCATGGAGCCCAAGAAAGTAAAATCTCTCACTGCCTCCATTTCTTCCCCTTCTATTTGCCTGGAGGTGATGGGACCAGTGGCCATGATCTTCGTTTTTTTGATGTTGAGCTTCAGACCATATTTTGTGCTCTCCTCTTTCACCCTCATTAAAAGGTTCTCTAATTCCTCCTCACTTTCTTATTTGTCTTGTTTACTTTTCGCCTGCAACAGCCTTTGCCAACATAGGCCTTCCAGGGAGTTTGAACTGCTGCTCCCATCGCCCCCAGCCAGCAGGTCAGATCTGTTGTTGTAATCTAAACATCTGGAAGACACCAGGTTGGGGAAACTGTTCCGTAGTAACGAAAAAGCGTTCACCTTCCTTTCTCATTACCTTCTCATTTTCTAGCTTCTATATCTTTTTCTTTCCTCCTCTGCCTCCTTGGCTTGTTGTTGTTTAGTCGTTTAGTCGTGTCCGACTCTTCGTGACCCCCTGGACCAGAGCACGCCAGGCACTCCTGTCTTCCACTGCCTCCCGCAGTTTGGTCAAACTCATGCTGGTAGCTTCGAGAACACTATCCAACCATCTCGTCCTCTGCCGTCCCCTTCTCCTTGTGCCCTCCATCTTTCCCAACATCAGGGTCTTTCCCAGGGAGTCTTCTCTTCTCATGAGGTGGCCAAAGTATTGGAGCCTCAGCTTCTGGCTTAGGTGAGCCTTTTGCAGCTGCCTTCTGACTTTATCCCCATTTCCTTTGCCATCTAAGCCCCCTGTCTTTTACCACCTGCCTTCCAGTCTTGTAAGAGGATTCATCTCAAGCCATTTCCCTTTTCCAGCCACTGAACTGCTTGGTCAACGTTCCGCCCTCAGAATATGAGCATTCTCTGACATCACTGCAGCTCAGCCAATGGCTAAGAGACTACTGCAGTTGGCAATTTGTGTCAGAGAGAGAGAGAGAGAGAGAGAGAGAGAGAGAGAGAGATGAATCAATAAATGATAGTATAGCCCAATGGTTGCCATTAATTTAATTTGATTTTGAATTGATTTTAAAATGAATTCATTTTAGAATGTTGTGTTGCTTTTATTGTTGTTAACCGCTCTGAGCCCGGCTTCAGCTGGGGAGGGCGGGATATAAATCATTATTATTATTATTATTATTATTATTATTATTATTATTATTAGGAGTCAGCATATACATCGCAATGCAGCCTAAATTCAAAATGGCTTCAGGTCTGCCATTACATACACAACTCATTTGCTCATCGGAAGTACTTTTTCTTTCCGTTTGTGTCGGAGACTTCCTAAATTGGACACAGCACATTTTGGAGTGGGACTGGTTCAAATTAATATCTCAGAAACAGTGGTTGAAGTCTGTTCTGCCCAAATTATCAACAGCAGGAAAACGAAGAATCTTGAATTGCTTCAGATTGCAAATGGCTTTCATGCTGGGCTTTTTCAGTCCAGCTGCTCAATTTTTATTTTTATTTTTTTATCTAGGGAAAAAACCTATTTCGACACGGGCATTTCTTAGCACAAGGTAGGCAAACTGATGCTGCTCAGGGCTTGGTTTTCAGGGGCACTGTCCGTCCCGATAATCAGCACCAGCCTGGAGCCATAACCTCTAAATCTGCCAGGGGTTGCACGCTTCAAATAATTATTATTACGGCTTGGGGGATGAAACTTTGTTCTGCGGAACCACAGCTCCTAGCTGGAAAGCTTGAGCACTGTAAGTTAGGCACAATGGAAGTCAATGGGGTTTTTCTTTTCTTTCCACAACCACCCATGCAATTTCCAGGCATCCACCTGGCACCTGTTACTTTGCTTCTTTCTCCCCCTAATTTGAAAAGATTGCTCCCGCTCCATTGTGGCAGCTACCCCACCGTCTGCCATTTATGAGCGGGATAAAAATTACAGCCCTACAAAAGTCACCTGCCTGGTGGACCAGAGGTAAAGTTTGATTGTTTTTAAAAAAAAAATCTGTCTTGGCGAACATTGTGGTTTCCCTTCTGCAAGCAGGGGCCTGATATATACTTAGACCTGCGATTTCCTCCACCATCTCTCCACTCAAACTAGATTATTATTTTTTAAGTCCTCTTTAAAAGCACCACCAAACTACAGTGGTACCTCGGGTTACAGGCGCTTCAGGTTACAGAGTCGGCTAACCCAGAAATAGTACCTCAGGTTAAGAACTTTACCTCAGGATGAGAACAGAAATTGCACAGTGGCAGCGGGAGGCCCCATTAGCTAAAGTGATACCTCAGGTTAAGAACAGGTTAACCTCAGGTTAAGACCTCCAGAACGAATCACTGTATTTTTCGCTCTATAAGACGCACCAGACCACAAGACGCACCTAGTTTTTGGAGGAGGAAAACAAGAAAAAAAATATTCTGAATCTCAGAAGCCAGAACAGCAAGAGGGATTGCTGCGCAGTGAAAGCAGCAATCCCTCTTGCTGTTCTGGCTTCTGGGATAGCTGCGCAGCCTGCATTCGCTCCATAAGACGCACACACATTTCCCCTTACTTTTTAGGAGGGAAAAAGTGAAGTCTTATAGAGCAAAAAATACGGTACGTTCTTAACCCGAGGTACCACTGTACAGCTTGTTTAGTTATCTGCTGAGCCTTTGGAATGGCTGCCTCTAGACCTCCTCACACCAGCCTTCCCAGCTAGAGAAGGTGCGCAGGGAATGTAACACAATAATAGCTCTGATGTGGCCTAACTTGCCCATTGATCCTTTCTTCTTTCCCCACAGTAGCCAGCTTTGAGGGAATCCCACAGCAGGAGTGCCAACTTGGCCCTGCAACTGTGGGTACCCGGGACCATGGGTGCCATGCAGCGTGCGCTGAAATTTGTGGGTTCCCGGCCCCTTCATTGGGAATTTTGTGCTCAAAGGTCCATGAACAACCATCGTTTAGAGGTCCCGGGCCCTAAGGAAGTCAGACTATCCTCCACCAGGG